ATACGTAGGATGACAACCACCGAGACTAGTTTGGTCATCATGTCCCAAATTAATATCTTTATTCATCTGCTTCTAAAGTTCGTGTTTGTGGCTAAAGAGGAGGCGAGCTTTTTCAGAAAGGATAACATATTAACACGCTTTGTTTTATTTTTATTTTTAATAACGGCGACAGTTGCTAGCTAATAGCATTCCAGCCTGTCTGGTTTTTCGTCTTTAACGATGATTTCCCCATTCAACGTTTGTTTGTCGTTTACTATCTTTTGCAGAAATTCCACAGAGACCTCCCTCCAACACCAGTCTTCGCCTACGGTACATCCAAGCACACCGCAACAGTCCCCGGCCCGACAATCGAGGCCATGGGAGGCGTCTCCACCCACGTGACGTGGACCAATCACCTCCCTCCGAGCCACATCCTCCCGTGGGACCCGACGATCCCGACAGCCATGCCTGTTGCAAAGAAGGGCATCCCTACGGTAGTGCACCTCCACGGTATGATCGGTGGACCCGAGAGCGACGGACACGCTCACTCGTGGTTCACCAATGGATTCCGAGAGACCGGACCCACTTGGACAACCAAAACTTACCACTACCCGAACGTTCAGCACCCGGGGAGCCTCTGGTACCACGATCACGCCATGGGACTGACACGTGTCAACTTACTGGCCGGTTTGATCGGATCCTACGTCATCCGGGACCCAAAGACCGAATCCAAGCTCCGGCTTCCCTCCGGCAACGAGTTCCACCGGCGGCTGGTTATTTTCGATCGCAGCTTCCTCACCAATGGTTCCATATACATGAACTCCACCGGTAACAACCCGGACATTCACCCGCAGTGGCAGCCGGAGTATTTTGGCGACGCGATCATCGTCAACGGGAAGGCGTGGCCGCGGATGTCAGTACGGCGTCGCAAGTACCGGTTCACGGTCATCAACGCCAGCAATGCCAGATTCTTCAGGCTGTTCTTCAGGAACGGGTTGAGATTAATCCACGTGGCGGCTGACTCGGCTTATCTGGAGAAGCCGGTGGTGGCGACCCACACCTTATTGGCTCCGTCCGAGATTATCGACTTCGTGGTTGACTTCTCAGACTCGAGATCGGACTCGGTCATACTAGCCAATGACGCGCCGTATCCGTACCCGTCCGGGGATCCCGTGAACGACGCCAACAGCGTGGTAATGAAGTTCAACATTCGAAAAGAACGAGAGTACGACACGTGGCGGGTGCCGAGGACGCTGATCAAGTACCCGTCCCCGAAGTTATCCGGTGCGGCGAGGTCACGGTACATTGCGATGTACGAGTATGCAAGCGCAGCGGACGAGCCAACGCACCTCTACATCAACGGCAGATCGTTCGAGGCCCCGGTGACCGAGAAGGCGAAAGTGGGGACCAGTGAGGTGTGGTACGTGATTAACCTGACGGAGGACAACCATCCTTTGCACGTGCATTTGGGGCTGTTTACGGTGATGGAGCAGACGGAGCTGGTGAATGCCGAGGAATTCAAAGAGTGCATGAACAAATTGAACGATGCGATGAGGTGCCACGTGGAGAAGTACGCCCGCGGGAAGAAGATCAGAGTGCTTCCCCATGAGAAGGGGTGGAAGAACGTGTACAAGATGATGCCCGGGTTTGTGACCAAAATTTTGGTGAGATTTGCATACATACATTCCACTCAGCCTTACGTGTTCAATGCCACTGCGGAGCCTGGTTACGTGTACCATTGCCACGTAAGTTTCCATTACACTTTTCTGTCTAATCTGGTTCGCCACTGGCGTTCGAGGGTCATGACTAGTTTCAAATGTATGATTATATTATGTATACGACCGCAACATTATTCTGTAGACTACTTAATCAACGTGGAAGCAGCAGGTTATATAATAAGGGCTTAATCATAATGAAAAGAAGATTATATGTTAATTATCTTTTTGGTTTGGCAGATATTGGACCACGAAGACAACGTTATGATGCGACCACTGAAATTAGTGGTTTGAGGAGGAGCACAAGGTGATGGGCGAACAGAGCACAATACTTTTGGCTATTTGTGGGTTGTGCATAAATTTTCTTCTGGCTTAATCAGTGTATAGTAGAAAAACGCTAAGCAAAAATAAGGTAAAGTACAATTGTGGTGTGGCCTAATTTACTGATGTTTATTGTAGAGTTAAGAACTGAGATGCTTGAATATTGTTTCGGAGCTTCTCTTATGCTGCAGAGCTTTCAATTTTTGTTATTATTTGCTTTAGATATATGCATCCTGATTGTTTACGTAGAAGAGAACACTACAAAAATGAGGTTGTCGTTGCTGCCGGAAATAGGAAAAACTCTTTCCGTGATTTTTTTGGTACGGCTAAGTCTCTTACAATTTTAATTTGTCATAGAGATCACCTTAAAAAGGTGTTATTAGCCGTTCTAATCTAGGGATTTTCATGTATTAATTTAGCGTAAATGAGCACTAAATCTTGCACTATATCCTGTATTTGTTTTCTATTTCACATGGAATTGTTTAGGTGAAATGTGTTGGGTTTAAGCAAGGTTGTAATGAATTAGGGCAACAAGTGTAGGTAGGAGAGGAGGTAATGAATTAGGGCAACAAGTGTAGGTTGGAGAAGAGGAGAAGTTCACATACAGAAGGAAGAGATCATCACGGTCGGGAAACCATGATCGTGATCTTAGTTTAGAGTTCCCAAGATGATCTGAATGATGCATTCATCTCTTAATAATAGGCTACTGTATTTTCCGAGGATGATCTGAATGTATCTATGTATAATTGGCTAAAGATATTGTGTTGGTTGATGTGACTTGAATCGGACTATCAACCGCTACGACTGGAAGTCACGGGGTTTCACTGTGTATGGGCTCAATGTTATTTGGGTTCGTGTTCCGGGCCTGGTAGTAACCGCTTTTCCTTTACCATACTAGATTAGGGTTAGACCATGGAGAAGCATTATAAATACTTCTAATACTCCTCTATAATCTGTATCTCCTTGAAGTATAGTGAAATTGGCTCTCCAGCCTGTGGACTAGTTAACATACATTGTGTTAGCAAACCACATAAATAGTGTGTTGTGTGCTTTTTGTTTTTCGTTATTTCTTGCTTTGTCGAATCCCTCTGATTTCTCGATCCGCAAAAAAAAAAAGTCGTGACAAGTGGTGTCAGAGCGCTGGTTGGAAATCAGGCTAGGGTTCGATTATGAAGAATGACATCGGTAAACATGAAGATCGAGAAGTTCACGGGGAATAACAGTATTGCTATATGACAGATCAAGATGCAGGTTTTATTGAAACAACAAGGGTTGTGGGGGCCACTGTCTGCGAAACAGAAAAAGACAGCGGTCGATAATGATGAGTGGAATACCCTGGAGGAGAAGGCACACTCGACCATCATGCTATGTTGTCTGATAACGTCATCAATGAAGTTGCTGCTGAGAAGACTGACGTGGGCTTGTGGTTGAAGCTGGAGAGTCTGTACATGACTAAGTCTCTAACCAAGAAGCTGCATTTCAAGCAACGGTTGTTCAGCTTGAGGATGCAAAAATGTACGCCTTTGAGGGAACCTCTCGAACAACTTAATTCTATTTTGTTTGATTTGCGCAATATAGATGTTAAGGTTGATGACGAAAATGCTGCCCTAATCCTGATTGTTTATTTGCCGAGTTCATATGAGAACTTCGTGGATTCTTTTATTGCTGACAAAAATAGCTTGTCGTTGGAGTATGTCAGATCTGCTCTTCACATGAGAGAGATTAGGCATAAGACGTTTAGATTTTGTTGTATACACTATTAAATAAGTCTCTTTCAGTGTATCTCGCTAAACAAGCATTAGCAAACTGGTCGCCAAATCGACTTGGAAACTTGTTCTTAATATAACACAAAGCTGAAAATATTCTTTTTACACTTGTAGTTGTAATTGGTAGAATGAAAACTAGTGAAATTGTTGTTATCGCTAGACAATTTTAGGGTTGTTGGGGAAGGCATAAGGAAAAAAGAGATCTAATTAGGTCTTTGTTGCAATTGGAATTTCGTTAATAGTATAATAAATTAATTTTATGTCAACTTTTGAACAAACAATGAGTTGTGTTGTAGTGACAAAATACTCTAATACTACCTATAAATGTTGTGTTCCATCACCAATATAAATATATATGGCGTATTTTTATTCCTCCGAAATTTACCCCTGTCTCGGGACAAGACCCAACGGGCTTGCCTTCGCCACTGAATAGACCATTCTAAGACACCCTAATGTTTGTGAATGATAAAAAAAACTTAAATAAAGGGGTTAATACCTTATTTTGGCCTGAACTATAGTCATATAATCAACTTAGATCAGTGGTTTCAGAAATTAACATTTTGGCCTCAACTATGTAACATATAGACTCAATTGGCCCAACACATGATTTGACAGTCAATTTGGATGGTCAACACCGTTGACCGTTAGTCAACATGCCATGTCATTGCCTCGTCAGCCTAAAAATCATTAAAAATTTTAAATTATTTTCCTAATTATTATTATTTATTATTATCAAATTAAACAAAAACCAAAATTATAAAAACATAAATAAATTTTATTTTTTGGGTAATTTGAAATTTTTAATGATTTTTAGGCTGATGAGGCAATGACATGGCATGTTGACTAACGGTCAAATCATGCGTCGGGCCAATTAAGTCTATATGCTGTATAGTTGAGGTCAGGATGTTAATTTCTAAAACCACGGGTCAAAATTGATTATATGATCATAGTTCGGGCGAAAATAAGGTATTAACCCTAATTAATGAGTATCAGGTTCATACACTTCAAGAGTGTGTTCATTCATATAATCTCTCTACTGATTAACCACAAAACTCAGATCCATCTACAGAACAAAAGGAAGAAGCAGAAAATTAAATTCTTTTTGCTTTGAGGAATAAAGGGAAAACAGAACCAAGAGAGTAATATATTAGCACCTCCAGAGTTTATCAGTTTTAAACAAACAAATTAAAATGAAACAGTAAGGGGAGGGAGCTAATAATTAAGGGGAAATCTTTCTGAACCATATGTATGAATGTACTTTGACAATCTCGTAAGTGATGAAGGCAGTTGCATGAGCAAGAACCGTGCTGAAGCAATGAGATCGAATGCCTTTGTATAACCCTCCAACGCCTTCTTCCTCAATTATTTGGGCAAACATCTGCCACGCTCCAGTCTTTCTCCTCGCACATTTTCGGTCCTCTGATTGCATTCTCTTTTGCACAACAGCGATGGGATATGTCGCTGCATAAGACCAAAAAGAAGATATACAAACCAAAAAACCACACAGTTATGTACTAGCTAGGCATTGTGATGATGCATATGTGCTGTGGTGTTGGAGAAGTGTATGTAGTTCCAAGTGTTGTGAGTCAGAGTCAGTCATTTGTTTTAATTTACCTGTGGAAGCCGCAAGGCCAGCAATAGTGCCGGCGACAAGGGCGGTCGTAAAAGAAGAGCCATTTGGCCTGGAATTGTAATAAAAAGTTTGATAAGAAATGCTGCAAGTGGTGATATATCAAACTAATATCATGTGTAAGCCAGCCATATATAATGGTTGAAGTTTTTACAAGCCTTAAATTTGTCGAAGAAGAGGCTGGAAATGTAGAATTTGATGATGCGGAAATACGAAACAAACACAGAACACAAGGGATTTTACGTGGTATCCTCGATCGATTGATTGATCGAGACTAATCCACGGTGAGCTCGAAAGAGCTCACAGCTGACGTTTTATTGAACGACTACATTGTGACGGCTTGCTTACGACAATCTCGTAGCTAAGCTTATATAGAGATAGACATAGGGTTACAACCCTAATGACAACCAAGTTTCCTTTTTTTACTTGAACAAGGAAAACTAGGGACTTGTAGGACAAGGAATTAATTATTTTTGACTAAATAATTAATATCCTCAACACTCCCCCTCAAGCGAAGACATGAGTGACAAGAATGTCGAGCTTGACAAAGGAAATGTGACGAACAAGCATGACAAGCTTGAACAACAAAACTCGAGATGAATAATCTCTCGGACGAGGTTGATTTGGAGACGACTGACTCTCTCCCTTGAACAACCTTATGAAGACGGTTGACTGCGTCTTCTAGAACTTCCTGACGGAGACGGTTGACTGCGTCTCTTGAACTCACTGACGGAGACGATTGACTACGTCTCTTGATCTTACTGACGGATAGATAGACGCGATCGACTTGATGACTGAGCTAGTCGACCGACGTATGTTGACCTCCTATTCCCCCCTCAAGATGGAGCATGAACGACGTGAATGCCCAACTTGAAAGTGAGAATGGTAATGACTCAACATTGACTGATGTTGAACGCGGAGGGGACGATCGCTTCTTTGATCGTGACTGCCTCGCATTGAACTTCTTTGTTGACGAAAGCCGTATCTCTCCAACACTAGCTACTGAAGGAACGACCACTGCAGGTCGCGACTGTCTTCAATGCCATTACTTTAATCGATGTTGGGAAGATTCATGATGATATAACCAGCTACATGACATGCCGTGAGATAAAACTCCACCTTCCACACTTAGAGTGACGTTGACTGGACAGAGAAGCCAACTCCGGTACCCCAAACTGATTTAACCAAGCGGCAACGGAAGTGCTTGATCTTGGTGCTAGAACTCGTTACCTTCCATTGCCCAACTTTTGACCACCAAACACATTTTTCTTTCCCACCACATGAATGGAAGAATAATTGACTGTGGGGTGATACCCTGCAAAGCACATTAGCACCAAGTACAAGATTAAAGACGAGCATCGCTGTGAGATAACGGCTGGGCGGGACCAAAACTTGGACAGCTTTGACCTTGAATCGATGACGTCGATCCTACCACGGAGATGCAACGTATCCGACGTAGGTAACTAAAACCCTTGACTGGTGGACGGTTATGATGACGAATAGACGGCGGTGACGATGAGGCTACGGATGACTGAGGCGACGAACGACCGTGACTGGTCGAGGCTTGTGACTTGGCGACAACGTCGACAGATTTCTCATCTGGACGGCGACTGTGGCATCGAGCAGATTCATCTCCGAATCTCCCGATCTCTTGGATCCCGCGGCTGCTTTCCCGAAACCACAGCCGAACAGAATTTGGACTGGACAGAGTAGCGACGGTAGGAAAGCTCCGTGCGGCGAGGAGTCTTGACTGGGGATAGAGACGCGTTCGGCCCGGAACGGAACGTCGAACTTGACAACATGGATAGAGGAAAGCCGGCTGGTGGAGGAGACCTGCGAACGGAACGGAGCACCGATGCCAGATGGAAGAACCGCTTGCTGAACGAGACTGCTGGACGGCGATGATCCTTTGGACGGATCCGGAAGACAACGAAGAGGTTGGACTGATGACCTCGACTGACACGGCGACGAATCTCAACACAAAGATCGGCAACGGAGAGGTAGACAGAAATCGAATCTAACCCTAATTCGGATCGAGTTTCGCTCTGATACCATGTAGAATTTGATGATGCGGAAATACGAAACAAACACAGAACACAAGGGATTTTACGTGGTATCCTCGATCGATTGATTGATCGAGACTAATCCACGGTGAGCTCGAAAGAGCTCACAGCTGACGTTTTATTGAACGACTACATTGTGACGGCTTGCTTACGACAATCTCGTAGCTAAGCTTATATAGAGATAGACATAGGGTTACAACCCTAATGACAACCAAGTTTCCTTTTTTTGACAAGGACAAGGAAAACTAGGGACTTGTAGGACAAGGAATTAATTATTTTTGACTAAATAATTAATATCCTCAACAGGAAACACGTATATGTGATTGTTGTTAATACATACATATAGCATTGGAAGTCGATCGTCAAGCAAGAAAGTTGATGTTGATCAGTTTACCTTAGTTCACTCAATATAAACGAGAGAGCTTCATATACCGTAAAAGTGATCGCCATGGATGGAACGGTTCTCTGAAACACACACACACACAACAAGGACGTACATCGCCCTATCTATGTTAACTATAGTACTCGTAAGAAGGCTAGGGGTGTCAGTTCGGGTCGGGTTCGGTTACACAAACCGAAACCCGAAAAAACTCGAAACCGAAAAATTACTAAAACCGAACCTGAACCTGATAAGGACTTGCGGGTTTCGGTTACCCGAAACCCAAACGCTTAAAAATACGGGCTGAGTTCTATTCATTGGAGGTTTTTAGCCGGAACCCGAAAAACCGATAAGCAAAACCGAACCCGAAACCGAAAAACCCGAAATCCGAAACGAACCCGAACCCAAAAAACCGAAAATATATATAATCGAGTCGGTTTCGGGTAAACCCGAAAAACCAAACCCGAATGGACACCCCTAAAGAAGGCTGGCAGGTGAGGTGAGATTCAAGAGAAGAGAACTAACTCACCAGTAATGAGGCTGACAGTCCAGCATATAGGGAACCCTCTTGACGTTTACTGTTACTTGTCTACATCATAAATAGTAGCAGCAGTATTTAGTAAAAAAGAACACTAGCACTAGCTGGATCATACTTAACTTACATAGTGATAGATAGGTTCACCAATCGAAAGAAGAAGCATCTATGCAAGTGCCATATCCTACTTCAACCATTGTCCATTAAACCATACCATACCGGCGGTTCAACCACAAAATACCAATATCGAAGGCTAAACCGATAGACGGTATTTAACGGTACTAACGGTTGGACTACGATTAAACCACGGTTTTGCCATAAAATACCATACCGTTGACTTTTCCGATACGGTCTCCGGTACGGTTTCATGGACCAAGCTTCTAACATGTACCAGCTAGCAGTGGTGAAGTCAGGATTCAAACATACATGTGTCCTCTTTTCAAAATATAAATAAATAAAATTAAAATTATAAAATTGAAAATATACAAGAAATAATCTTTAGTGTAGCGATATGATACTTATTCATTATCCAAAAAATCAAGGGTTCAATACTTGATATAGGGCTCGAAGTTTGGTACCGGTATTAGGGATATACTATATACCGTACCGAATTTATTACTATTAGGTATTATCGAATACCGGTTTATTTTTCAGGAATTGGGATTGGGATTCATTTTCAAGTGTTATTCGGTATTCGGGATTACGAGATTGGGGTTGGTATATACCGAAATACCAAAAGTTAAAAATTAATGAAATATAGCACACAACCTTAGGTCATTTCTCACTCTTTCACAACTTAGAAGCCCACATCCAACACAATTTTGACTTTCCAGTCTAAGTCACTCTCGTCTCTCAGCTAATCTCTTGTTATTTTCATAACTCCAAAAATCAAACACTAGTATTAGTCGTCTCTCAGCCTCCAATATGTCATATTAAAGATTACCAATGACAAGAATTTGAGATGTCACCTCTCCTCCATTCTCCTTATCCATATCCTAGCTCTAGGCAAACTCAATACTCGTTGCTTAGTCTCTTTGCCCTAAATTAAACAATTAAATAAAATTTATATATTTAATTATTAACTTCAAATGTAATTAATTTTTGTATTCGATATGGTGATACCAAAATATCTAGGGATTGAGATATCGAAATTATTCAGGGATCGAGATCGACATTAATTTTAGGATGTAACTCGGTATTTAAAATTTCGGTATTGGTATTCCGATACCAAATACCGTACTAATTTCCACCTCTAACTTGATACATACGTATGGGTATTATTTCTCTACCCCAAATTTCACCTTTGTCCTATAGGACACATCCAAAGTAGCCTGCCTCCGCGTATGCCAGCTAGCCAGCTAGCTAAGATTTAGATTAGCTACCTGTATTGCAATGCGTGTTCTCAAGGTATCCAGAGGATGGGAAACAGAGGTGGCGGTGAGTGCAGCCAATCCTCCACTCAAGAGAGCCAGAGAGGCAGGCTTCATAGCCACACTACTCGACTGCAAAGCAAAGCAAAGCAAAGTAGTAACACAACCAAAACCAACCGAGTAAATCAATCATCAGTTTAGCTAGCCAGTATATACGCACCTACCATGAGTTGAGCCCTGAAACCAAGATACAGCAAAATGTTGATGCCATAAAAAGTCAGACGATGAGCAACTGCGACCAAGTTCCCCCTCCAAAGCGCTGCTGCATAGCCATAGCTACCACCGCCCTCTTCTTGCTTAACAATCTGAGCCGCCAGCTCCCATATACTCCTCTCTTCTTCTCCTTCTCCCCGCAATTTACCCAGCTGAGAGAGTGTAGTGATGCGGGCGAGAGGCGCGGTGCAGGTGTCGCTCAAGGCGATGGCGACGACGCCAGCGATGGGGAACAGAAACAAATTGGTCAAGAGAGGGTCGAAATTGATCCCCCCAAAGAAGACCTGCTCCTCCAGGAACATGCGGGACTCCAGAAAATAGCGGATGCTGACCATGGCTGCTTTTTTCCCTCTGCAATCCGTGCAGTCGTGCCCGAGGAACAGGCGCTCGATTCGGCGGTCGGCTTCGTCCCACTTCCAGTTCCAGGGGGTCTGCTCCGCTACCTCTTCCCAGCAATTCATTTGCTCCTCGTAATCAACCGTCCATCTGATAGACTCCATAATGCAGATGCTCCCTTCCGTGCACACCTCATCCCCCTTCCAATTCATCCCCACAACATGCCAATTAGGGCGAAACACATCAAAACGAGAAGGAAGAATAATCCATGCCCAACTCATCGTCGCGGCCGGCCGGGAACTCTATATATATATATGCAATTATGCTAGCTAGCACCCCCTCCTTGAGAGGTCATATATATATATATATATATATATATATGCTATATAGCATACCGCTAAGTCTAAAACCCTAGCTAGCCCGCAAAATTTCTAACTAGTATTTGAATCGGAATAGGACAACTACTAGTAATTAATCAATTATTATATTATAAACATGATTAGCATCGGGCTTGGTCGGTTCGCGGGGAGAGTTTAGGTCAACAGTTCTTAGTAATGATGAGCTAATTTGGTCCTGTTGTTGGTTTTGCAAAAGCAATTTCTGGTCTGTGACCTTTAAAGAAGTAATAATAAAAAAAATTTGAGTGTTAGACTGAAAAATTATTAGAAGTATTTTTCAATATAAGAGTTCATATAAAATTACTAAAAATAATTTTTAATATAAAATATTAAAAATTAATCTCTTTGTTAGATTTCATTTACATTAATAAATATTATTTTTTTAATTTATTTTATTTAAATATAATCCTGTATCTTCAAGACAGCTTTTCGCAGAAGTTTCAAATCAGAGCTTCTGCTTTTTATGTTATTCAAAATCACTTTTCGGTTTTTCAAAACCCAAACTTTTGGAGGCATTGACCTAATTTAAGCTTTGGAGCATAAACACACTTCTAAAAACCGGGTTAAACATAGAACTTATATTGGAGATGTATTCAATATATGTTTTGCACAATTATCTGTTGGGAAACATTTTGTCAAGTGGTTAGACTATGCACAATTGGTCACAATATAGCATAAAAGAGTAGAATAATGATATAACATTCAGATAAGATACAACAAATAGTCCTAGACTATTATAACTAAGATTCCTCTTTTCATTTTTCTTAGTTTGGGAAAAGCCGTGAATATACCAAAGGTTATTATGTGTGGCTAACATTATATGTCTTTATACATCATAACATTTACCTACGGGTTTCATTAATGCATGCATGAGAATTCCTTTTTATTAAGATTACAAAATGCAGCTCGTAAGTTCTAATTTCAACGATTTCATTCGGTAAAAAAATGTAGCATTTATGGTGCACAGATTATGTGTTAATTGTTGCAAATGGATGATGAATGACTAAAAGTTACATAAGTTGTTTCATTCAATGCAAATAGGGTGTAAATTAGTGACAAACACATATTATAGAGTGTTAACAGTGACTCTCGTGCAAATTCGCATCCCGAACCTGAAATTTGGCTGAAACCTATAACTGACCTTGTTTGATGGTGTTTTCAAAAATTGGAATATCAGTAATATGGATTATTCCTTTTTTCCAATAAAATAAAGGATTGAAATCATAAGTTGCAGATTATCTAAGTATGATAGATAATATTAAATGGGAAAATAATAACTCGTACTGAAAGCATTTACTTCCGAGATATCAAGGTCAACATAGAACACTGTTGAGCCAGAAGAAGATGAAAATTTACCTCCAAATATTTAACAAATCATTTTCTTTTGTTCACCACACCATATTAACAAAGGCTTAAAAGGAAAAATGGTTGTGCCTTGTTCCAAAACCTAAATCATCCACTATCTGCTCTCATTGCTGGATTTGATTGAATCTTCTATTCCACATGTATTGTACAATGGATCATCCCTTACTTCATCACCATCATTTTCTTCATCACTATCCTCCAAGACATTTCCATCATGTTCACAAGCTGGTTCGTTGTTCACTAGGTCTTCACCGTGAAATACATCCCGAAATAGCCCCGCCAAATCTGCTCTCATTACTGGATTTGATTGAATAGGGGTAGATAGCCTCTCCGTAGCCAAAACATTTGCCCATGGCGAGGAAGAAGTAGCAACATCACTAGCTTGATGTGAACATAAAGCTTCTCCATGAAAAATCCATGTAGTATATCCTCTTAGAATACCATCCCAAATGAGGTGCACCCGAATATCTTCACATGTTTGTGCATATACATTTACACAATTGATACAATGACACAATATCTTTGCTCCATGAGATGCATTTCGAAGTGCATAATCAAGAAAATGTTGTACTCCGTGTTTATATTCATTGCTCGTTCTATGTTTCTTCATCCAGCTCTTGTCCATTTTGTCGATTATAGATATCACTGCAAGTCAAAATGAACAGATTCTATCAATCAAAAGTTGGACCGGGATGAACTGATTTGTTTGGCTCAAGTTCCTCTACTGATGGATACAGTATCTCAATCAACATTTCAAGCTATGCATCTAATAAGATGGATCAATTGTTATCTCAGAAACTAATTTGACTAAACAGTTGATGCTGATTGACTTCACTACTTTGCTTAGAAAAGAACAAGTTTATCCATCCCCTTTCTATGTGGTTGCAGTAACAGCACCCTACCCACCAAGAAAGAAAATTTCCCTAATAAAACACTCAAACTGTCTCTAGAAGTTTAAGTAAAACATCAATGACCTATAAGGCTAAAAAACCCATTCAAAGTTACCTTGCAATCATCAAAATTGAACCAAGGCGCCGACAACTTCCGGACCCACGGCGAAAATTGAACAGATTCGGCCAAATCAGGAAATGGGTAGTCAAAGAACACGAGAATGCAGAGGCAGCGAAAATGATGATGGGCGACGGTATTTGGATGCTCCGATCTAACTCCGACTGTCGACTCTCCGATCTAACTCGCTCACTCCAACAGAATCACCAAAATGGAAAACAGGTTCTCGTATCGTGAAATGGAACAGGGGTTCTGAAATTTGTTTTAAGTTGTAGCAAGGGTTCCGGACCCTTGAGAATAAGCGTTGCTACCAAAAAATGTGAAAGGGGAAACAGGGGTTTTTCGCTGAAATCTGGTTTAAGAGTAGCAAGGGTTTACGAACCCTTGAAAAGAAGCGTTGCTACAAAAAATTCCGGGAAAATTAGCAAGGGTTCGGCAACCCTTGCTACAAAACCCTTGGCATAAGTCCTTTTTTTTTGTAGTGACATCCTCAAATGACACTCCTAATCAAGAGATAAGCCCTTTGACGGCCTAACTCAAACACTATGCATGATTGCCTCTCACGTGAGAACACTCCTTTTTCAAAAGTTTTTTCAAATTGAGCACGTTTTGCAAACAATTTTTTTAGTCGAAGATTGGGGAGAGTCCTGCATACATGTCATAACCTAAATAGTGAACAATATCAACACATCTAGAAGAAAAAAGAAGTAAAACCCCTCATACACCAATAATCCTCGTAATGCTACACTACTCCCTACAACGCTCACCATCTTAATCATCTAACAATTCAAAGTATAATGAGAAGATAGATGCATAGGACAAGGTGATAGACCGATAATTATACATGTTTTCACCCCTATTCTGAAGCCGTTTGTGATGAGGAATCTCGTGTTTTAAGCCGATTTCACGCTAGGTTGTGTGTTTATGTCATATTTCAGGTCCCGGCGTTGGAATCGAGGCAAAGGAACGAGTTCCGGGTCGAAAGGAGCGAAGTTGGGAAAAAGGAGGCTCTTGGACCAGAATACCCGGCCAAAGGAAGAAATACCCGACCGGGTATATTCTGGACTTGACCGGGTATTTTTCCCTTCGGGCACCCGTGAGAAGCAGAAGGGGGCCCGGGCGATGGCCTTAAATCCCCGGTCGGGGATTATGAGGATAGACCGGGGATTTTTCCTCTTAGTGGAACGGCGCGTTTTATGAAATACCCGGTCGAACCCTGAAATACCCGACCGGGTATTTCGACCGGGTATCGCGATGGCAGCTGATAAAAGAGAAAGAAGGCCAATTTTCTGAGGGTTCCGAGTTTTTGAGAGAGAAATCGATACCTAGAGAGAGAAAGCGACGAACCAGAGTTCCCAAGCGCCATAGATCGATCTTCAACACCATTGGAGCCCGGTTTGAGCTTGGAGAAGTGCGATTAAACGTCCAGGAACAGAAATCCAACTTCACAATATGATTTCCGCGTCTGAATCTGCTTTTGCTTCTTTCTCTATGGAGTAGTTTCCCCATTCATCTGGGTATGGGGAACCCTAGATTTGTATGCTAGGTCTGATTGTATGAACCCAAGTGCAGAGTTTGTGAATTGATTATATTCGATTGAGGTTTGAATGATTGAATGACTTGAATCCTGATCAAATTCCTGTTGTTTCTGCTTTAACCTAGAATGAGAATATCTGCCTAGGTTGATAGAGTATCCTTAATCGAAGGTGGCGAATTGGTGACTTTAGTCGAGGAGCCAATTCGCTATTCTGTACCGAAGTCAATTCGGTAGTGGAGGTTTGATTCATTAGGGCATCAATCTGTTTACTCCGGTGGAGGTTAGTCGCCCGCTAGAGACTCAGATTGAGAGGGTCTGGAGACCTTTAGTCGAGACTTCAGGCTAATTGAGAACCTTCCGCAGTATAACTTTCATGAAAACTGAACTTGGTAAATTGCAATCCGACTTAACTGCAGTCTAGGGGGAACCATATCCGGGTGACCTCTCTTGACTTGACAACAAACCGTTTACTTGCTTTGTGTTTTGTTTGCTTGAGTTGCACTAAAAGTTCACCGCTAAATAACAAGAATTCACCGAGTAGTCATCACATCTAGGACCCGGGTTGATAATAAAACCCAAACCCGCTATACTACGCTTTAGGAAGTGGTTACACTTGGCCATTTTCTAGAGTGACAGTAGGAGTGAGTCACAAGGTGTTTGGAACCTACAAATTTGAAATTTTTTTGGGGCTAATCAACAAAGTTCCCAAGTTCTTTAAGTCATTCGTTCAAAACACCACACAAAACTCATTCAATTGATAGCATATTACACTCCCACACATAAGACATAACTATCAATGTCTTACATTCACAATCATATAAATTTTTGCAGCAGATAAAACCAACCCCATTTAGCACCTTATCCTTACTCCACTCACATTATCAGATTCAGAGACTCATATTATCAATTCTTTTTTTTAATGGTTAAAACAAAATTTCATTAAGCTCGGACATCTTAGGAAAAACCTTAAGCACCTTTTAAACAATTACAAACATCAAGTGGACGAGTTACATACAATAATAACTATCTATATATGGCACTAATTTATCTAAATCCGAACATTGTCAAGACTACTTTTTTAGCATCACTATGCTCGCAGCACGGTAGGGCAAGATCTGCCTAACTTCAACACAAATAGCAGTAGGGGGTTTTGCAGCTCTTGATCCATAGCGATCGATCACTACTAGTACATCCTTATAGTTTGTGGAAACAAATACTAAATTGATTTGTAAATCACAGTCAATTACCACAATACGTGATCGGTGTAAATTACAGTTCACACAAATCCGAAAGTTGCGACCATAATCATTGTCGTTTCATTCCTTTCCTTTTCAAAACGAAAGCCCATGTACATCCGAAATCACACTAACTTCAAACCTCCTATATGCAACGTTTAACAAGAAAAGTCACACTAAAAATTTCAACATTTCCAAACGTTCACCAACTAAAAATTCGGTAATAATCACCGGAATAATTGAATTGATTCTGTCTAGTACATAGTTAGATTTAATACAATTTGTTGAGGCATAGTTATCAACATGCACTAAACAAAATTTCGAGCGGTCGCACCGCGAAAGCGAAAGCATATGTATTAGTTTGTATTGACATCTTGAGAAAGTTACTACGTACTACCTTTCCTCTCGTCCAATATTCAAAACAAATTGCCTTTGTTACTTTCTTTGACCTTTACACGACTACCAACCACGACTCTTCCAATCAAAACTCAACCCGCCCATTTGCTGCAATTCTATCCTCTCAACTCTATTTAAACCCCCAACCAACTTTGGCCATTCATTATTCCTTGGAAAAAAGAACAAACTTCTTCCTCTTCGTTTTATTCTAAGTACAGAAGCGCCAACTAGAGCCGTACGTAACGTAACGTAACGTAACGTAACGATGGGGAACAGCATCGGATCGAAGAACCGAAGAGCCAAAGTGATGAAGCTCGACGGCGAGACCTTCAAGCTCAAGACCCCGGTCCGAGCCGCCGACGTCCTCAAGGACCACCCGCCGGGCCACTGCCTCCTCGAGTCCGAATCGGTCAAGCACTTCGGCTCCCGGGCCAAACCGCTCGAACCGGACCAGAACCTGCTCCCCAAGCGCCTCTACTTCCTCGTCGACCTCCCCAAAACCGGCCCGGTTCCCCGGGCGAACCCGAGGCGGGTCTGGTCCGGCCCGATGAACCTGACCGCCAAGGACAGGCTGGAGAGCCTGAAGCTGGCCAGGAGGTCCGCCTCCGATCTCTCGCTCATGAAGCCCGCCGCCGTGGCCGGCAGCGTCACCGTGGCGGAGGGCGGCGGCGCCGGGGAGGAAGGGACGGTGAGGGTGAAACTGAGGCTGCCGAGGAGTGAGGTGGAGAGGCTGATGAGGGAGAGTAAAGATGAGGCTGAAGCCGCCGCGAGGATTATGGATCTTTGCGCTGCGGGTGGCGGCGGCGGTGGTGACCGGAGTTGTTATAATAGAGCTGCCGGCGGAGGAGAAGGGAGCAGCGGCGGCGGCGGCGGAGTCAGTGGCAGCGTGATGAAGGTATGTGACGTGGACATTACGTGTTGCATTTGTCAGCTCAATTTAATTTAATTTAATTGTCTCCAGTTTTTTTGCTGCTAGGCTTGCTAGGTTCTAGTGCTGCACATGGCACACCGATTTTGACTAAAATGAGTAATTGAACGTAATGTGTGTGTGAACATTAAAGGCTTTCACGAAATTGTCTTCAATGATTAAATTTTAGATTTTCAAAGACTCTTGAAAAAAATATTATTAAAAGACTTTGAATTTTAGTTTTTGGAAGACTTCAAAAAATTATAATTAAATGACTTTAAAATTTAGATGATGTAATTTGTTTTCTCATGGATTAAGTAAAAAAAAAAATTGCACTTGAAGGATGTTTCTAATTGAATATCTATTGTTTTATTTTTGAAAATAGATTTTTCTTACTTTAGCATTTCTCAAAAATAATCTCCAAACTATATTGAGGCATTGTAGTGTTTTATAGCCAAATCATAGGCGATATTCTCCAAACTATTGGGGCAGTTTGAATCAAGAGTCTCAACTGTGCTGGATCGATTGCAAAAATTCACTATCAATTGAAGACGTTTTCGTTCAATTTTTACGAGGCTGCGAATCTTGTCAAATTGAGTGATAATTAACTTGATTCATTTTGCCTAATTCGCGCACTAGATGTTTCTATTCGTATATAAAAATGTTCCACGGCACAGTGTTTTGGGAAATATTTTTGTTGGAGATGAGTAAATAATTTATGGAAAATAACAATGAATATGAAGGGGGAAAACCGCAGTAAAAATGTAACTAACCTTGTTCCCTTTACAACCCGACTCTGGGCTTTCAAAAAACCTTGTTCCTTTTACATGTTACAAGAAGAGGATTTTATGGCTTTCATTTTTGTTTGTTAAAAGAAAAACTTTCCTGCGTTGATTGCGGAAATGAGGGAATCATGACGTCGAAAAACAAAGATGGGTTGTCGACGGAAGTAATGTCGAATGTTTGGTTTGGAAAATGGTTACTCTTTAGAGGAAAATGAGGTTTCAAGAGAAACAGGGACTTAACAAACCATTTCTTCACATGTTCTGTAGGAGGGGGTGCTTAGTTGATTATTATTATTATTATTATTATTATTATTATTATTATTATTATTATTATTATTATTATTATTATTATTATTATTATTATTATTATTATTATTATTATCTCTCCATGCATATGCATTTGTCGCCTGTGAACCCCCACGTCGCCCAATTAATAAAGGAGAAGGGTAGATCCAATTCTAAGCCAAGTCCTCTGTGGACATAGTCAACCTTCTCCGCCTGACTTTGTCTCATCATCTTCACGTTCCCCTCTAGTTGCCATTGGAGAAATGAAAGGGATTACTTTCTCGTCTCTTTTGACGGCTACACATATTAGTCAAAAAAGTCATCTACTGGCCTTTCCTTAATTTCTGGAAAAATATATTAATGGTTCATATATAGTTTTATTTACCACATGTCCTCGTTTGGATGGGAGATTTGTGTATACGAGAATATGTCTACAACTATTTTGTATAATCGGTTTGTTGTATATTACTATCTATTCCCTTACTTTATGCATTTGCTATTTTTTGTTGCAGAAACGAGTGAGCTTTTTGCCGATCAGTGAAGCGGAGACGAATCAGATAGCCGTGGCCTCCTACTAATTACTACCAAGAATAATTAAGCCAACGATGAATAATTAAGCATACATTAATTCCTTTGTAATAAGTCAAGAAAGATGGGCCACCAATTAATTTACACTTTTAAGTACAGTAGTCTTTGCAAGTTTTTCAGCCTTCGAACTCTCATGGGAACCAAAGCATGTAGTGGTTTCCTTTGCTGGTCTCACATTGGTTTTGTGTAAATAGGATTTGCATAGAGATACAACAAAGCGGTCACGTTTTGGGATCTCATGAGAGTGGTGAAAGAGCTTTTTTTTTTTTGTGAGAGACATGTATGCATGTATGTAGCCCTACTTTTACATCTATTGTAATTTAGGAATTACATATATTCTTTGTAGGGTTAAAAGAAACTTTATCTACTTTTACCTTGCTAACTTTCTAATATCATGTTTTTCTAATAACAATTTTACTGGTATTAATCCCATAATCGGGAGGAGGCTTACAACATAATTTTTCTAATAATAAAAAAATTTGGTGGGAGGTCGAGGGACCAAAGTCACTTCTCGCAATTGTTAACCTCTTATCATGTTTTTCTAATAATAATTTTGCATGACCTGCTATGGGACATTGATACAACAGAAGGAGTTTCGGCCCAACTTGGAAAACAGAAAAGGCAGAACAAAATTGATAACCTCTTTTTTTCATGCTTCCATCCTCGTCGCATTTACTGGTTTCCTTCAGTTGTTGCTCCAAAGTGCATCATACCTTCAGCTCCGCACTCATGCTGCTAAAACTGTGTTCTCGACCAAATATGACAGTACGCTTCACTTGCTTGTGGTTGTACAGCACAAATATTTAAGCATATATTCATTGGAAGAACATGTATCAGCCAAATCCTGATGTATTCTGGTGATGGCCTTCTGCAAGAATTTTAAAGCGGGAAGGAGGTTTCTGGACTGCTGTTGGATCGAGTTACCATGAGCTTTGCATAGCTCCTGCGGAAAACATAAAATCAATGAAGTCAAATTGAAGATTCCCAGACCTGAAAACAAAAGCTTGTCTATATTCACAGCAAGAGGTAATCGGAGTACCAAATTACCTGACACCAATTAAGTATAAACTCCAGATGAGGACAGCTTTCCAAGAGATCAGCAAACACATCTATTAACCTCTGTAGGTATCTATGAGGAATCGATGACACAACAGTTGCTACATCTGTGGGGCTTACAGCAAATACACATTTTTTTATCAGCGAATCTTCATTCAGTCGTAGGCTGAGGATTAGACCCCTGCTTGGTTGATTTTCAATCAGTGCCTGGTTAACCGCCTGTAATTATGATTGACACAATGAAACAAGATGATATTAGATCTTTGATTGAGGGCATCGTGAATAGTAATCAATACGGCAACCCAAGCGATTTACCTCTGGTGTCACATCAATGTCGAGATCAGTGGGGTCGAATATGAAAGATTCATCAACTGAATAAACTAGAACCCCTTCAGTTGTTGCAGCGGCAAAGCTTCGCCCTGTGTGTGCAATCCTAAGGGATTTTGTTCGAATTATAGGCCTTCCTCGATTTTGGGTGGCCCCAGGTAAATCACCACCCAACTTGCCCCGAGTTTGTATATCAACACCTTCCTCTGCATCACTATCATCATCATCAATCAAATCGAGTGGACCAGCATCAGTCATTTTCTTGGAGTTCAGGAAGTCATGCACTCCATCCATCGAAAGGTTAAAAGTTATTTGAAACCGGCGCAAGAGAACCTGTCCATTAATAACCTCAACAGATTAATTACCTCCATACCCCAAAAAAGAAAGCCAGCAAACAATAAAACCCTTTGAAATATTGTTGCAGCATGCAGATAACACGATAAGAGAACAAAGTTGGGGTAGGGTGTGAGAAACCAAAAATGATTTGAAAATATGGGCTATAACGGACAGTATGAACATGTATGTTTTCAGCATTCATTTCTGGCGCATTTTCTATTACAAACAATGAATTTCAATTGTTTAGAAAGGAAATTTCCATGGAAAAATTGTTTATGGTCTCTAATGCAAGTGATACTTAGCTATTCCAAAAATCCCTTAACATATTTATATGATAGGCTTACGACTTGGTAAAAGAAATCAAAAACTAGGACAAGCGCAAAGATGCTAGATTAGATTAAGCTTATGGGAACAGGGGGACAAACCTGATCAGCAATATCATACATGCATATGTATTTGCTATTTCCACCAGCCAAAATGTAACTCCCATCAGCAGAATAGCTTAAAGTTGTGAAGCATTTCCCTGCTGTTGAATTAGCAGCTGATCTGCGATCAGTCATGAGGCGGCCTCCAGCAATATCCCTTCGACCTTCAATGGTGTACATTAGAGAGCCATCAATTGGATCCCAGAAATGAATTTGACCATCTAATGTGCTGCAAGCCAATTGCTTCCCATCTGGACGATAAACTACCGTCAGAACATCATGTGTGTGAGAGAACGTTTCAACAGCGCCTTTTCCTTCAAAAATATCCCACAAGCGAACAGTTTTGTCCCAGGAAGATGATGCCAAGATTGCCTACAGGATGACAAATAAAAAGCAGAAACCACTTATATCAAAATGTGAATATATGTAAACACCCAACAATAAAATGAAAAGAATCACAGCAGGCAAGCTACAGCTTGACAAAAATATTCAGGTAAACGTATCACGTAGGAAGAAATAACATCACTTGGTGAATGGGTTGAGTTTCAACTTAAAATAACAAACACCAACAACAGAAATAAAACTCACGCTTGTTGGAGAAAACATCAACCCATGAACAGGACCTTCATGACCACTGAGCACATCCAACAAACGCCCAGTCTTCATTGACCAAACAAATATCTGTTGCATATGACAAATAATAATAACCCAATCAAAATCCAGTAGTATGATGAATACTGTTGTAGTGCTATCACACTGTTGGTTAGAGATTTTATTATTTTCGCTGGACTTGAGTATACCGTGGAAAAGTAATTGCATGACTTATAAACAGGATAATTACCTCAAAGGAATCTAGTGTCCCTGCACAGATTACTTCACCACTTTCATCTGCTGCCAAAGACACGAATTGTCTTGATGACGGAGTAGTAAATGTCCTAAAATTCCGATAGCGGAATAAATCCCATGCACGTACAGTTCCATCTAGAGATGCACTTAACAGGCAGTGATTATTGGACATAAAATGAAGGGCAGTAACAGCATTGGTGTGCTCTGAGAACGTTACAAAGCAAAACCCCGATGAAACAGTCCACACCTGCAAGCAATAATGGATTCACACAATAATCAAGACCAAAGGGGCAAGGTAGCAAATCAAAAGACAATGTGAAATACCCAAAAAGAGGTAAGGAACAAATTACATTCACAAATAAAATATGTATGCATTATTAACTTTCGCAACTATGAAATAAGTTTGCATTAGAACTCATTGAAAAGTGGAATGATCCTCAAAAGAAGAGAAACAAAGGTCCCCAAACGGTGTCAACAACTACCACTTGCCACCCAATAACCTAAATGACACAACTGAATGCAGTTTAATACCAGTAATGACTGGCTTTTCAATATAAAATGACGGGCCTTAATTTGCCAAGACAGTAAAAAAAAAATAACATCATTTCCATCGTATTGTATTTGAAAGCCAAATTGTCAAATACCGAAGGACCAGTACTTTGGCAGCAACAATGCCAACAGTTTGAAACAACTACCAGAAATTCACTTTTCAGTGACCATGAAAGAAAGAGAACTATGAACTGAAAGAACTCAAAAAAGTAATGTGAACAGTGGAACAGCATCTAATGATTAAGCTTAGTAGTAGCCCATAACCTTCAAAACAGCCTTCCAAATTCAAAGCCCGTATCAGCAAACCCAACCATATCTCAAGTCTAGAGTATTTATCAATGTTATCAATCCATTTACCTTGACTTTGTTATCATCTGCTCCAGTAGCCAACAACTGAGAATCTGGTGAATAAGCCAAACAGTTGACATCAAAATAATGACCCTGTTGCTTCAACACATAACTCTCGGATCTCCACTCCCATACCAGCAATTGCCCCAACTTCGCACACCCAAAAGTTAACCAATTACCAATCTCATTAAACACAGCTGTGGTGATCTTCTCCCTTGATATTGACAATAGGTGGATGCAAACAAAATCTGGCATCTGATATAACCCAAAAACACCACTGGAAAATCCCACTACAACCATATCCAATACCCTATGGTAATCACATGCAGTGACTTTTGCTGGTGATTGCATAAATCCATCTTTCCTAAGCAACTCCCATTTCCCTTTATGCAAGTACTCTTTCAAAGAAGGGTCAGTCCCTTTCAAATCATGGTTCTTTCTTTTCTTCGCATTAATTTCAGTTACATCACTCAAAATTTCTTCCCCGCCTCTCTCTGGTGTTCCTGGGGAAAGAGGCTCATCATCCTGGAGCTTATCATTATCTGCAGCACCATCAAGGCCACCATAACCCCAACTGAATATGTAACCATCGCGTGTAACGGTGTAAGCCCTGTTTGGGGTATTACTATTCTTACTGTACTTAAAGAAACAACCAACAACAGTATCTCTGTGTCCTAAAAACAAATATGGCTTATTCATTGCACCTTCCCTCAGCCTCTCAGCAAAAAAGAGTCTTGCAGTTAAATCCTTAGAGCCAACAAGCAAATATTTAGAATCTAAACTCCATTCCAATGCCGTGACTGTAGCCTCACAATCTGCAAGGGTCCTCACCAAGTGGAAGGCAAAGGGTTCCTTCTTAAAGCCAGGAGACAACCAGATTTCAACTAATTTGCCAGTAGCCACCGCGATATATTTACCATCAGGACTGAATTGGACAGCGTGTACAGCCCCATGCTTGAAATGTATACGATGCAGGGATACCCGGGCTGGAATGTTAACAAATTGAGCACGGTTGTTCTCGTCGACAGTTAGGAGGAATGTACCGTCAGGTGAGGCTGCAAGTCGGCGTATGTTCAAGGACGATTGGAAGGGAAGTGTAATGGTTTGGGACTTCAAGAGGTCTGTGATAGAGACACGGTTTCCAACTGAAGAGATTAGCTGAGTATTCTGAATGACTGTGGCATTCCCTCCCCGGTAAGGAGCTCCAAGCAGATTTTGAAATCGGTAATTCATAGCTAGTTTCTAAAGAAAGATCCTGCAGAGGAGCATCAAAAAACTTTGTCATCAGCCATCACAACCTGGTTGATAATAGTCTATGAAATCTAAATCAAACAAAGCTATTTGGTTCAATTAACTCAAAATCAAGCTTTCAGCAAACTCTCCATATTATTAACCGGTTTCCGGAAACGCTTATTAATCACAACAAGCTTTCTATCTTAACAACAGAATAAGGGCAAACAAGCATTCAACAATGAGAAAGAGTCCATGGCGAGCACGATGAGAGTAGAAAGAGAGAAGGGACGCCAGCACTTACGAATTTGGTGCAAGGTTGCTTTCTTCTTATGGTCCACGAGCTTGCTAGAAGAACAGTGAGACTGAGATTTTGGAAGAAGGAGATGGCCGACGAAAGACGATAACGAAGTACGGAACAAGGGAGGGGCAGTGGCGACGAAGAAAATAGGAGAGGGGAGGAGTGCTGCCGCTGCGGGGTTCAGGCACCGGACCGAGAGAGAAAAAGGGGGAGGCGGGGACGAGGAGGCAGAAACTGAAATACAACAACGACAAAGGCGCCAATTAGGTTTTCTATCCCCGAGATAAAACCACGTCGTTTGGAATGAAGTAATTACTAATTAGCCCTGTCCTGTCAGTTTTGTAATTTTGTTTAGGGGTGGCCGGGTGGCAACGGGAAACGGGTATTTGGGTTTACCCGTACCCGTCCCTTTTTTAAGGGTTACGGGTACTCATATTATCCGTAATATTATAAACGGATAGGACTTAGGATTGTACATTTCTAATATGGTTACCTGCGGGTTACCCGCGAATACCCGTTTGGATAATATGGGTACCCGTTATACCCATTTAATACAAAGGCAGTCCAGCCCAATTCAGAACCCTGGCCATTTCGGCCCTCACCCTTGCAATTTCAATTCCATTTGCCATTTGGGCTCAGGGCCCTTACCCTTTCAGTGAGACTCAGCTTCTCTGCTGTAGATTTTAGCTTCCCATGAACCTAAAAATTTGGACACTTTCTGCATTCAACAACACAAGAAAAGTAGTAGCATGCCTCCCATTTGGTTGTGTAGAATGAAACTTCTTATTTGATAATTTGGTGCTTTGAATGATTTATTTCTATGTGTTGTAATTGTTCATGAATGTGTTATTTGCAAACCGAGTATTTGTGATTGGGATGTATTTTGTGTCTTGTGATTGTTAAGCAAATACAAGTTTAAACTTTTGTTAAAATTTTAGTGGTTTATACTTTGGGTATTTATGGGTAGTATGGGTACCCGTTATCCGTCCCGTACGGGAAATGGGTACTCGTTTCCCATATGAGTTTGGGATATGGGATGGACTTTGGTCTCCAAACGGATTTGGGTGCCCGTTTAAAACGAGACGGGTATCCCGTCCCGTTGCCTACCCTAGTTTTGTTTAATTTGGTTAACCAATCTATGAAGGATGAAAAAACAAAGGCTAACACCAATACAGGATGCAAACAATCCAAAAATATATCATTTATGTACTCAAGTCTATCTATCTTCTATCTAGGAGATTCATCACTTATTTTTCTTTCATTTCAAAATCCTTGCAACAAAAGTGAAAGTGGAAATGGTACATTCGACATTGCAATTATTTAGGGGTCTTTTGGTTTGGTGATTGTTCGATTGGGATAGTTACAATGCATGTATTGTTCACAATACATTCTTTTTTTGAATTTTCTACCTAAACAATACATGCATTATTTAACTAGGGGTATACTTGGAACAAAAAACAAATCCAACAATCTCCTTAAAACTATCTCAACAATCTCAAGTTTTAGTAGAGATAGTACTATCACTCATATTGAGTGATAGTTTTCATCACACCAAGCAAACAATGCATGTATTGTTTGTGCAGAAAATTCAAAAAAAAAATGCATTATGGACAATACATGTATTATAACTATCTCAACCAAACTATCACCAAAACCAAACGACCCCGTATCCTTTTTCTAAATTGCATATATATTACAATGCATGCATTGACCACAATGCATTGATTTAAGTATCACCAAAACTAAACGATCCTTATTTTTTATTTAAGAAAATATATCAATGTGAATATTTGAACACAAGTATATTCTAACAAAAATAAGAATTATAACCAAATACTATTGTATTATTTAAATAAAATATATTCAAGAAGCAAAAATATGAAAATCAAATGATTTTTTCAGCACGGTTATGGGGGGAACGGATCAGGTCAGTAACCTTATGGTGAGTAACTATGAGTAACCCGCCCACATCAGCATGACATCAGCATCCTGCCTCTCCTGGAAAGCCTTTAATTTTCCCCTCCTTAATCTTTGACGGACGATTTCTCACTCGTTTTAAGTCAAAATTTAATTTTTTTTGCACAGTTAGATCAGATTAATTGTGCTCTTCAAAATGATATCCACTTTGATATATTTTTCGAAAAAAAAATTGAGTAATTTTTTACCAGTCTATACCATATGGTATTGTCTGGTATTGAAATAAGAGCATACCTATGGTTTGAAAAGCGTACCATGGTGGTATGACACAAACCAAAACTGTAGGATGGTTGAATACATGATAGTAGAAGTATATTAATTATCATTTACGATTTTTAACATTGTATACCGTAAGATACCACCCCGTACCAGGGTGGTATTGTATGGTATTGTGTGGTATTTTTTGGTCTTGTAATTTGTTCACCCAGAAATTTGTAGATCCACTAGATAATGATGAACTCGTCCCTCCTGTGCAAATGTTTTCAAAAACGAATTAAAAACGAAGAAGATACCATATGGTATGCAGTTGGTACCGAGATGCCAGAAATTTTTTTTCCTAAAAAAATATTGAAAATTGATCTCATTTTGTAGAGCACGATGAACTCGTTCCATCTGTGCCAAAAAAATTAAAATCCGAGTTAAAACGAAAAAGATATGAGTCAATTAAGAAAGCTAGTGAAAATAAAAATAGCTTTTAATTCTCCATCTTTAGATCTGGATTTTCTAAATGAAGGGTCCAGATTTGGTTATTGATGGGTGCACCCGGGCTCAAGATAGGGTGCATATCTTTTTAGAAAATCCAGATCTAACGATGGAGAATTAAAGACCATTTTTATTTTCACTAGCTTTCTTAATTGACTCATATATTTTTTGTTTTAACTCGGATTTTAATTTTTTTTGCACAGATGGAACGAGTTCATCATGCTCTACAAAATGAGATCAATTTTCAATATTTTTTGAGGAAAAAAAATTCTGGTCTTTCGGTACCAACTGCATACCATATGGTATTTTCTTCGTTTTTCATTCGTTTTTGAAAACGTTTGCACAGCAGGGACGAGTTCATCATGATCTATTTTATCTACAAATTTCTGGGTGAACAAATTACAAGACCAAAAAATACCACACAATACCATACAATACCACCCTGGTACGGGGTGGTATTTTATGGTATACAATGTTAAAAGTCGTAAATGACAATTAATATACTTCTACTATCATGTATTCAATCATCCTATAGTCTTGGTTTGTGCCATACCACCATGGTACGCTTTTCAAACCATAGGTATGCTCTTATTTCAATACCAGTCAATACCATATGGTATAGACTGGTATAAAATGACTCAATTTTTTTTGTTCGAAAAATATATCAAAGTGGATATCATTTTGAAGAGCACAATTAATCTGATCTAACTGTGCAAAAAAAATTAAATTTCGACTTAAAACGAGTGAGAAATCGTCCGTCAAAGATTAAGGAGGGGAAAATTAAAGGCTTTTAAGGAGAGAGAGGATGCTAATGTCATGCTGATGTGGGCGGGTTACTCATAGTTACTCACCGTAAGGTTACTGACCTGATCCATTTCCCGGTTAGGGAGCCCACTATGTCTCTCTAAAGGTTTTTTTTTTGTGTTTGATACTTTGATTTTCATTTTTTATTTTATTTCGAGTTCAATAATAATTGTTGTATATCTTATAAATGGAGGATAATCTTAAAACCGCAATTCAAATATCATTGATTCGAATCTTGCATATCAAATTACAGTATTAAATATGTAGAAGGGATATAAATTCTTAACTTAGTATCAATTTTTAGAACTATCATGAAGCAACGATATTTGGTGCAAACAATAAGTGACCGATTTTCGAATTCTTTTTTGCAAGTCTGGTTAATCATTAAACCTCAAATGTCTTCCTGATGTGGCTTGTTTATACTCAACAATCATGAGACAAAATTGAGTTTATTGTATTGGTTCATTTCACCATTTTTGGATGTGTTAGTAAATTTATAGGGTCATGACAAGTGACTGAGTAAAAATTACATGATTATGCATTTTGATTTTCAAATAAATAAAATAGTTTAAAGTTTGATGCAACTGTATACTTACTTAGTTGGTTGAATGACTTTTATTTTATCATATATGATAATTAGTTTATTTATAATATTTGTGATGTTTGAAACCTTTTATGCTTGGTTTAGAAGTATACTTATTTTTTGTGGCATTAGTGGCAATTGGTTACGATGTAGTATTTCATCTGTTAGTCAAAGTAGTGTAAGACTGCATTTATTTAGTGTCTTTTAGATTGGTGTTGGGAACGGATATACAATTGTTCATGCAAATGGGTATAGTTATGAATTTGAAACTTTATTTTTGTAAAAATATTTACATATTCTCTTTCATTAAGTAATCAGACTCATTGACACCAAATGTATCACCAAAATCATGATACAGAAACCAATTTTTAAAAAATATTCATGGTATTTTTTTAACTTATATATATCTTTGAAATTTACATTGTTGTTGATTGTTAATGAACTTTCCATCAAAACTTTGCTATAGTTGGGTTGTTTATAGTGCTTGCTAATTTGGGACATGAAATTGACTGGACACATTTAGTTCGTTGTGATACCATATAAACATAGTGGGAACCATATTGTTCTTAGTTTCCACGTGAGTTCATACAAATAGTCATTTATTGAAAGCATAATCTATTGAAAGCGTTGATAAATTCTAACCTCTGGCGAGAGTTGGCATTGATAAATTCTCCTATGAACAAATGTTTCATATAGTCATTTATTGAAAGCGTCAATAATAAGAGTTTTCGACAAGTTGCCTATGGGTTCACCTTTGGAGAGATTCTTTGCTTGCAATATTTGCATTTCCGTCCTATCAAGAATTCATCACCGGCCAACTCTCTTTGCTTTTGAAATTTGTGTCGTGGCATCCACAAGTGCTGATGACACTACTCCAACCCTAAATTCTTCCCTGACAACTTCAATAGCTCCAGTGGTTCATGTGCTTAGTGTTTTTTTCATAATTGAATAGTTTTAGAAAACAATTACATTGTGTATTTAACCCTTAAGATGATGTTGTTCAATCTATATAGTTAAACATAATAAAATTATTTATTTGTCCACAATATCTCTTTTTTTATTTTTTATTTATTTCCGAGTGATATCAAGAGAGAACAAGAGTTATACAAACAGAACTACCCAGGAACCCCCTACAAGCGACACCCTAGTGAAGCCACCCAATAAAG